ACAACAACAACAACAAACACTCACGCCTGTCACCCAGAGGGGTAGGCAGAGACTACGGACTTCCATTTGGCGCGATCCTGACACACCTCTCTCGCCTCCTTTACATCCATATATCTACGCATACACGCTCGTCGGTTAAGGGTACTCCTAATCTGGCCCATTTCTAATGTATCGCCGATTTGGTCGATAAACCTTCGTCTAGGCCGTGCCTTCCCGACCCTGCCATTCACTTATGCAACATAAATTTGCTTTGTCACTCTTTCCTCGTTCATTCTTTCTACATGACCAAACCACCGAAGCATTCCTTTCTTAATCCTTGTCATCTTGCAAACTACACTTTTCTCTTATCACACTATTTCTCACCCTGTCATTCAGATTCAGCCCTAGCATACTCCTTAAGGACCGCATTTCTACAGCATTTATTCTACTCTCATGCTTCTTCTGCCAGACAAAACTTTCACTACCATACATTAAAATAGGGACCAACACAGCATTATGAATTGCCATACGTGCCTTATTTGACATATTCTGACTCCTAATAATAGCGTGTAGAGCCCCATTCACTCTATTTCCTGCGTTCACTCGTCGTTCTATATCCTTATCATATCTACCATCCCTGCTAAATAAACATCCCAAATATACAAACTCATCCACTTGCTCAATCAACTCTCCTTCAATTCTTATTTCACATAATGTTTTACTTTCTTCTCTTTCAAAAAACATCACTTTCGTCTTACTTGCGTTCACTTTCATACCCCTTTATTTCAATGACCAGTTCATTAAAGTAACCATCATTTGCAACTCGGCCGCCGACGATGCAAATTTGACTTGATATGACTCGTCGGCGTACAAAAGGCATTTGACGGTTAACTCACCCATTCTCAACCCACATTCTTCAACTTTCAAAGTTTGCAAACAACTGTCCATAAATCGGTTAAACAGCCACGGGGAAGCCACACATCCCTGTCTGACACCTTTATGAATGCCAAACCAGTCCGAGTAGACCCCGTTGATCCTGACACAAGCACTAGAGTCCCTATAAAGAGACCTTAATGCCTGTATCAAGCCAGTGCTCAACCCAAATGAGTTCAGTGTTTGCCATAACACATTCCTGTCCACTCTGTCATAAGCCTTTTCCAAGTCCATGAACGCACAAAAAACTTTCTGGTTTTCGGCCAAAAACTTCTCCGCAATGATGCGCATGGAAAAGACTTGATCCGTACACCCCATTCCCTTTCTAAATCCAGCTTGCACATCCCAAATTTTTTCATCAGTTTCTTCCATAACTCTTTCAATTAACACCTTAGCATACAGTTTACCCACAATGCTAAGCAAGCTGATACCACGGCAGTTTTTACAGTCCTACTGCGAGCACTTTCCCTTATATATTGGGACTATAACGGCTTTGCACCAGTCTTCCGGTACCCGCTTCAGTTCCCAACATAAATTAAACAAGGTGTACCTTGTTTAAATTAAACAAGGTACACAGCAGGCCTGCAACCGCACCGTCTCCAGCCCTTAGCATTTCGAGTGATATTCTATCATATCCGGCTGCCTTACCTGCTTTCATGCTTTTCATTGCTTTCATTATTTCATCTACACTTATCTCCCTACCTCTCTCCACTTCTTCCGGAATTTCTATTTCACTTACTTCAGACGACTCTTCACTCTTAAACACGCTTTCAAAGTATTCCTTCCATCTCTTTAAATTCGAAACTTCATCATTCAGCATGCAGCCATTCTCGTCTCGTATAGCATTCATTCTAGGCTGTTTTGAATTTCCCCTGGCAGTTCTTACGAGCTTCCAGAACATTTTAATATTTTCCTGGAAGTTATCAGATATCCTTCTATCATTCTTATCTATCCTTTGTTGCTTTTTCCTTTCAACAACTTCTTTTACTCTCTTATTTATACGTCTAAAGTCTGCCTTTTTTCTTTCAATCTCATCAATCATACCGCCAGAATTACTAGCTTTGGTTGCTAGTAAATCTAGCCATGCTTTCTTCTTTGCTTCAACTTCCATCCGTACCTCATCATCCCACCACAACGTATTACTTTTCCTTTCATTCTTTCTCTTCCTTACACCACATACTTCGGTGGCTGCATCCACCTAACACTCAACATCTAGATGCGTGAGGAATTACATGGAATTTTTTTGGGTTCTGTCATGGTTCTGTTTACAAAATCAAAAGAGCTACGACAACTACTTCCGCGTAGACCTCTGTATGCAACTGTCCTCTCGCCGCAAAAGCTTGGGGTTGAACAATCTAGTTACGGGTGACAAGGAGTGTGTCTTCTACCGTAACCACAAAACCTAACTCGATACACCAACCTAATACAAACCTACTCAGAAAGTTATGTCACAGCTTAAAGACAGCTGTGGTTACGAGGTAGGATGCTAATAGCCTGATTACACCTACCGAGTAGAGTGGCGAGACAGTGCCCTCGGCTGAGCGCTCGGTATTTGTAAACACACATAGGCGAGTCTCGAGGTGTTCAAGGTGTTCTCCATAGAGTTATGCTATGTGGCATTCTCTGCCATTCAACCCCAGGTGCCAAAGACAATTGTTGGCAGGTGTGAAACATATTAATTTATACAAAGTGTAAGTACATAATATATTAAATATATATATACTTACTACTTAGTACATATATGCATATACAAAGAGCCTGTGTAAGTCGAACCTCGATAACTCAAAAAAATATTTTATTCCCTTCCCTTCAACTTTGATTACTCAAAATCTTAACCCTCTTTATGTCGAAATAATCAGAAAAGACCAGAATTAGTTTAGTTCTATAACAATACACATCAATTTTTACAACAGTATACAAACAAAAAATGAGTGCTATGAAAAGTAAATTGAAATCTTTGAGTCCCGCTGGAAAGTTAGAATTGCTTGAAGCTGTGAAGAGCTATCCAAAGAAGAAAGATATTGCTCAACAATTTGACTACCAATAAATATTCTGTCAACAATTAAAAACTAATCAGATATCACGAAAAAAATTTAAATTGGTCAAAATTTGTAAGTATTTCCTGGCTTGGAGGAGTGGTTACCTAAATAGTTTAAGCAGTGTCAGAACCAAAACATTAAGTGTTAGTGGACCACTGGTAAATTAATTTAAATGAATGAATCTAAACCTCTACAAGTCGTATATTTCCTTACAAATTCCACCTAAATCGAAACCTGTCTGTAGAAATCTACAACTCAAATTTTTTGGCATCTCCCTTGAAGTTCGACTTACAGAGGTTCTACTATGTATACACATAGTATATATGTGTATGTGTGTGTCTGTGTATGCGCAAGTGTAGTAAAATAGTATACGATCAGTTAAAATAATGCATTACCACACGTTTTTAATTAATTTTTCTTCACCTTCAGCTATATTACTTATTTTGAACCCTCTATGCAAATTTTGCCAGTTATTGCAAAATAACCCTGTATAAAATGTGTATACATGCTTATAAACTTAAAATATAAACATACACATGAATATATACATAAATGTTTTCATTAAAAAAAGTCAGTCCTCAGGTAATGTTGAAAAAATACTTCTTTTTTTTTTATAGGATGAGGGCGACAAACGAGCACACAGTCCACCTGATGGTAAGTGGTTGCTGTGGCCCATAGACATCTACATTTATCCTCGTTTGCAAATCAAAATGCAGATGCGTTGTCACCCGTGAGGACTAAGACAGAATGCCTCTTTTCCATTAAAAAGGGTTTGCAGTTCTCTACACTCACCATACGACACACAGCAGCGTCAAGTTGCTATTTCACACTGGTATTCTGTGAGAGCGTAGTCCTTCCCCGGTCGAGCCGACCCATTCGTGTTACAACTATACCAGAAATATAGCTGCAGCATGGCTCTACCACGTATAAAAGTTTACATTGGTTACTTTCTTAATATCAATGGGAACAGTATTCCAAAGGTGTATAGCCTGTACCATAAAAGATAACCTGAAAAAATTAGACCTGTACTGTGTAATACTAATCCTGAGACGGTTTGTCATGAAGTTTTTTTTTTTTTTTATAGGATAAGGGTGACAAACGAGCACACAGTCCACCTGATGGTAAGTGGTTGCTGCGGCCCACAGACATCCACATCTATCCTCTGTTACAAATCAAAATGTAGATGCGCTGCCACCCGCGAGGACCAAGATGGAATGCCTCGTTTCCAGTAAAAAGGACCTCCGGCCACCTGCACTCACCAAGCGAAACGCAGAGGTAAACCTCTACTTCACGCTGGTTTTCTGTGAGGTCGTGGTACTACCCCGATTCGAGCCGGCCCATCCGTGCGACAGCAAAAGCTGCCGCGTGGCTCTACCACTGTTTGACCATCAATCAAACAAAGAAAATGAATAAAAGTAGAGGCACTGAAGGGTTGTTTCTACAGTGAAACTTTACCTTTGTGCTTTTCTAATGAGTTTAAAGTTATACAGCTACTTTATGGTACTTTAAGTATTTGAAAGAACAGTGTTAATAATTCATTAGATAAATTGAGTGCTGTGTTGAGTCAACAGAATAATTGAAAGAACAGTTCATTATTTGTTTTGACAGTGTATGCATATCCTTGCAGTTATTTTCGGCAACAAAGAATTGGTGAACAGCTTAATTATTCTGCAATGCAAATATTGCAGCAGCCAGTTGACAAAAACTCAAGTTGTTACAACTCTGGACCTGGACACTGTAAGAGAGTAAGATGTATGCCGAACTCTTCCGTACTACTAGAGGCCACTCAGCTCAAGCCTTACTATACATTTCTTTTCATTTACGTATAAACAAGCCAAATAGTTGTCTTAAATCTATAATATTTAAACAATGTTATGTATGTAGGTAACTAATCAAAGAAAATTAAGAATCAACAAAATAATAAGTTTTGATAGAAAAACGAAATATTTATTTGAGATTAAAATTTATTACAAATGGCTTACACTTAAATATTTACAACTATTTTCAGTCCAGTGCACTTTAATTTTAGGTTAGATTAGTTTGAAGTGACTATCTTGTTGATACTGTCGCTTCCTTCCTAGCTGCGTCTTGAAGTAATTGGGTATCAACTTCATCTGCTGGTAATTGTACATAGCGTACTACGGAACCACGAATAAAACAATTCTTCACAGACAGCATGTGAGGATATTTATCCGGATCTATGACGCTTATATCTGACAATTTTATATTCAGATATTGATCAACGGAATGTAAAGTTCCACAAATACTGAGATCATTTTTCAATTCTACAACCACATCTTTACCAACTAATGATTTAAAGAATGAGTAGAATAACATAATAACTTATTTCTTTAAAAAATAATAACAAGCAAGAAAATTAGATTGCCGCCGCAATCAACAGACAACAACACACTAGGCTTGGGCTTGGGCAAAAAATACCGATATATCGAAATATCGATTATTCTCATAAAAATATCGATGTATGTCGTCGATATTTTTGATCGTGATATATCGATATTTTAGAGTATCGAACTCCTATCAATTTTGATATATTTTAAAATGTTGTATTAATGAACAAAACATGAAACAACAAAAGGACCTACAAAAGCATTCATTTGTGGTTGTCGTTTTTTTTCGGCCAAATATAAAATTTTGCCTTCAATGTTGAGACAGCTAGATTAGTTTATTTTAGTTACTTTCATAGCATGGTGTTTTATGAAATTTTGCTATGGGGTAACGCCACTGAAATCGAAGCTATATTTGTTTTGCAAAAGAGAGCCGTACGGGTGATTTATAACTTAAATTGTAATGAATAATATTTAAAATAACAAATATATTAACTTTGGCATAAAAATATAAATAAATTTGATAAGAATAAAGATGTTCATACATTAAACACTAGGAAAAAACATAAGCTTGTAATACCAGTTACTAGACCCCACAGAAATTATACAAAATTTGTCAAAGTTTAAATGTTTTATTAAAGAAAAATTGAACAAAAAATGTTATAATAATATCAAAGAAAAATAAGTGAAAAAAAAACCCTGGAAATGAGATAATCGCCACAATGGTCGTTATATTAAAACTCATTTAAAATTTGTACAAACAAAAAAACAAAATAATTGTAAAGTGAAATGTGTTTAAAAAAGTCTCGCTGGGTTTATTGCTGGTTCTTCCCAGGACATCGGCATTTTCTGAACTAGTGGTAAATAAAAAAATGACTTTCAATGAGTATGTATGTATATTGAATAAAATTTATTATATTCCTTATCCTTACATCATAAGAATTATGACGATATATCGATATTTATCACGCAAAATATATCGATACTGTTTAGAAATATCGATTCGATATTTATAAAAAGTATCGATTCGCAGCCTTAAGATACACAGACTAATATTTAATATGCACAAACACAACATCTTAGGCTAGCCACATACACACACAATAATATTGTTAATGCAAGATTGTCGAAAATCTTCTCCTATATATGGTCCCGCGCACAACGCAATATTATTGGCAATTTTTCATGTTACAATCTGACTTAGTCGCTCTGCAGCTAGATTCACGTGTGCACGTTTAATATAAAGGATAAAAAGAAAAAAGGCGTTGCATTGAGTATTGCATTAATTTTACTTATTAAGAAAGGGCAATCAGGAAAGAAACGAAGGATTTTTCTTTCTTTTTTTCATTCAATTTTTTCTTTGCATCTTCTCTCGTGCTATTTGGTTTGATTTTTTTTATAAATATCGAGCAACTTATTAAGCGCATTTGTTTTCCTAACTTTATCGCGATATGCTTCGCAGGATATATTCCATAATTGTGGATATGTATCCCATGTTTTAATAGATACTGACTGTTCGCGCCAAACGCTAATTTCAAGAATTAACGCGAGAGGGCGCTCGGCGCGGTGCATTCATACCAGTTTGACGTCGGCCGAGCGGTGGGTTGAGAACGCGTAAAGGCGAAGGAGTCGTCTGTCAGCTGTGCTTAGAACAGCACGCTGTCATTTTTGTCGGGAACTCAGAATAATTAGGCGCGGACAGTAAACATACGGTCTAGGATTTGTGAACGCGCATTCCTGCTGGAGAGCTTCCCAGGGACTCATTGTGTCTGACTCAAAATCTGCATAAGTGCATTCGGCAATATTAGGTAGTGCGACCTTTGATATTCTATAGATAACTGTTGCTACGCGAAACGGTAGTGACCTTTGACCTCCGTGTTCGTTTTGTGCGTTAACCTTATAACAAACGAGAGTTAGTGGCTTCTGTAAGTTAGTTAATAGTACGATAGAGTTAATGGACTGTCATCGTGACGAACGAGGAAAGTGATTGTGGACAACGCCGCGGAAGGTTCCCTCAATTTGGAGCGGTGTCGGCGCCTGGGCTGCTGCCGACAGCCAAGGTTTACTCGGGTCAATCACCCTCAGTCACACCCAGATACACCTTATTTCCCTTGCACTACACAACCACATGCGACCTGACCGACTCCGGAGGGACCAGTCGCCTTGGATATAGGTAAGTAAGCTCCGTCTAACATCCTCCCGGTCGACTGGCCGTAGTATAGAACGCTCCCTCATATAGTTTAGTGTTATTAGAGAAATTCCACGTGGCCATATTCTGGCCCCGTCCCTCTGCTGCTCGTCGATGGGATTACTCATGGGCCCTAATCCCGTCAGCCTTGGTTGGGGCAGCTAGGCGCGTGTACAAATATTGCTCTATCTATCTTATATAAATATATATAAAAAATATTGCTTTTCCTTGAGAGTACTATCATCAACAGTATCAACAGTATTTTCACTGTTTTTTGTTTGAATTAAAAACGAACGCCCGCCTGCCTTGAAATCTTTTCCTCAACTAAAATATTGCCGCACGCCCGCATACGACAATATTATTGACAATACCCCTGCCTCCCCCAATACTGCCGTGACAAAATTTGAATTTCTGGATATCCTCAATAATATTGAACAATATCGCAATACAGGCCGCACACACACACAATATTATTGACAATACGTACTTTATTGTCAATCACGCTTTTGTAGATAACCGAACTAAAAAGTAGAAAATCATTTTTAATAAGTTTAAAATATGAAAATAGTAATTAACATAAAAATTAATTTTATTGTAAAAAAAGCTGGGGGTGCTTTTTTAATATTTTTATTTTCACAAAAATATTTACAAGGAATGACATCGAGCATACCACAAAATGACTTTTTATTGTATTTAAGCCGGACATTCATACAGAATTCCGTTTCGGGAATCCGTTAAGGAATTTCGATTCGGAATTCCGTGAATACATCACACACATACTCTTATTTCCGTTGTCCGGAATAACAAGAGTCAGTTGAGAAACGTTAGCCATTAGGTCTAGACATTTGAGATTCCATTTTTGCTGTATCATTGTTACTGGGTTTATCCCCCCCTTATCACCCTGAGCTTGCAATATATTCAATATTATGTAAAAATATAGATCTATCCAGAGATATTTTTTAAATTTGGATGTCTGTAAACTCTTTTGACAAATTATTAAACAAAATAAGATGAAAGGTTAGGAAAAGCTTTTTCATTATTGTACATTATAAGGTTAAGTGTAAAAACATACATAAACACTCCTACTCGCTTCCGTCGTGCGACGAACACCGAGCGCTTTCCGTACGGAATTTACGAATGTGTTTTTTTTTATAGGATAGGGTGACAAACGAGCACACAGTCCACCTGATGGTAAGTGGTTGCTGCAACTCATAGACATCTACATCTATCATCAATAAAGAATCTAAATCCAGATGAGTTGTCACCCTTGAGGACTAAGATGGAATGCCCCTTTTCTAGTAAAAAGAGTCTCCGGTTCTATGCACCCACCATACGAAACACAGCAGTGTTAAACTACTATTTTACGCTGGTATTCTGTGAGAGCGTGGCCCTGCCTACTAATATAGCTGTAGCATGGCTCTACCACGTCTTGCGACTCATACAAAATCTATGGAAGACTTGCGTTCGTAGCGGCTTCTTTCCGTTCGGAATTACGAACGCATAGGTGGTCATACGAAATCTCAAATCGGAGAAAATTACCGTACGTGTGTGACGAATCCTTGATTTTATATGGACTTGCTGCATTCGGAATTCCGAAATGGAATTTCGGCCTTATTCGTCACTACATTTACCAGGTACATAGATTATTATTTAAGAGTTGTCCTATGATATGAACTCTCTAGTATATATACAGTAATCTATGATATGGACTATGGTTACCAATTACCATAGATAAATGGTTATTATGGACGACTTGTTTTTTTTTTGGCGGGAATTTGACCGACGGTGGTTTGCTGCTCCTGTATTATTGTTTAAATAATGGTTTGAAGTGGATTTTGAATGTAAAAGTGACACGATGTTGCGTATTAAGTGTCTGTGCATGTGAACTATTAGTGGAAACGGTGAAACAGTACTCTGATGGTGTCTGTCTGTTTAGGCCCCGTGAGATACCATCGTCAGCTGTCTGCTGGCTCAAGTTGCCGTCAAAATCTCCCAAGGGCTGCACAATGTGATGCATCAACATATTGTGAAGCAGTGTACTTTGAAGGATAATTATATATTGTAACTTCAGGCGCAGAAGGGCTATAACCCAGAGCCGTAAAACCAGCTATAAAAAATATGAACGAGTTCTAGTTAGGGTTGTAGAAATATCGATGGTGACATCGATGTTGACATCGATAGCTCAAAATCGATGTTCGATGTTTATCCTACTCAGAACATCGATGTTGGCCATTATCGATGTTTTTTTGCACATGTATTTAATAGATTAGAACATAGATAAATAAATATGTAGCAAGCTAGGTTAGAATTAGATAAATAAAAAATTCTCATGTTATTTATGGTTTATAATTAATGAAATAAAAGAAATTAACAAAGAATGTAGTGTAAAATAGTAATTAAAAAATTGGAAGAAATTCACAAATATCTAATTCATTTGTTACATTGTCCAATATTTATGCCGATAGATTAAAGAAATAGTAATTTTGACAAAGATGTACCTTTAAATCTGTTTCTTTGTTGATAAAGACTTGAGCCAGCTATTGAAAATAATTTAAAAATAAAAATTTTGTACAACTGACTTCAATATAAATTATTAAGGATAACTCAAAAACTATTGGTCAGACTTATATGGGTCAAATGTTTATGGGACCACATGTGAAGCACCAAATTTCAAAGAAAAAAAAGATTCATCGAAATTGCTTCGCCCAGAAAAAATGAAGTAACATACATTAAAAAAACAACATACAGTGGAATTGTGTACCACCTCCTATTTGAGTCGGTAGATAACCGCTCAGATGGCGCTGATGTAGCGATTGTAGCATTTTCATGTAGCGATATCTCACTGCATGTTTTCTTTTTAATTTTAGATAGGTAGAACCGATTACGTTGTTCCAAACGTGCATAGGATCGTGTTTAAGATCAACCATCGGTTTTTTTAAACAACCGGTAAAGAAACAGACAACCAACAACGACACCAATAACAAACGAAATCAGTGACAAGCGCGACTTTACAGTTGACACTTGACAGTTAAATTTGACACCCCATAATGATACATTTTTAGCTTATCGATGCGTTCATGCATTCTGAATTATTCAAAATATTAAATATTTTAGAGGAGATCCATGAGTTAGTTGATATTTATTTCGCGGATTCGTAAGTACCCAATAATCGATTATGGGTTTATTGACAACGATGTTTCGATGTTTGACATGTGGCAACATCGATGTTAAAACATCGATGTTTTCATTCTTGACATCGATGATCATCGAACATCGAGCATCCCTAGTTCTAGTTATACTTATCGTCTCTGTGGTTGTCGTTGTTCCCTGGTATATAGTGTATTATCTATGGTCGCTGTCGATGGCTTGCTACATATATATTTATCTATGGTTGTCGCTAGCGCCGCTAGCGACAACCATAGATAAATATATATCTATCTACGACCGCTAGCCTAGCGGTCGTAGATAGAGGATACTATGCGCCAAGGGTAGAGATGAGTCGTACTAGGTAAATTATGTACTAGGTGCACTTAGTCCATTTCCGTACAAATACTCGATCCAAATACCTGCTCACCTATTCCATGAAGTACGCATAGTTTGGTATTGTTGGAATAGTATACACTTTAAAGTACGCTTAGTCTTTACGTACAGCCGATCCCTATACGTGAAGGTAATGAATAATAATTAATCGTCCATTCATACTTTACACAGGCTATGACTGGTCAACGTTAAGATTTATCTACATTCTAGATTGTTGGCGTATTTAAAAGATTTCAATTCATTTTTTATTTATGACTAATCCGATTTTTGTCTCTTTTTCATTATTTTTGTAAATTATTTTTGTTTTGTATTTTTAATTACCTATCTACAATTATTGTTTTTTTTTTACATACGCGCGAAAAATCAGTCTTAGGAGTTTTTAAAACTACATTATATTTTCCAAATGTTACACTCAGACATTTGTTGGCATTTGTCCGTAAAATTACCCCAAGCGACACTGCTGCAATTTTTTTAAACAATAAATACTTTAATGTGTAATAAAAAAAGTGAAAGTTCTTTAAACACATAACAAAACTTCAAAATCATTCAACACGGTGCCGAGATCTCATTCGCATGAGTCCGTACTAGTCACTCGACTGCATCATATGGTCTCCATTCGCATCGAGTATTTACTAGTACCTAGTCTATAAAATCTGCCTCGTATTTGGTTGAAGTCCCCGGGACTAGTCCCGACTAGTCTCGAGTATTGACTGACAAAGGTAGAAAGACTGCGGTATAGTGTAGTTAAAAAGGGACAGGATATATTCTTGCACAACACGAGTCGTGTTACTTTTTTATACATTGATATAAAGTTCAAATTCAAATGACTGACACACGAATGATTTAGGCAAACACGAGTGAGCGGCAAAGCAGACTAGTTAGTAACTATGGCAACAAAATACTATCTCGCTTTGCCGCGCCGGTACTTCTACTTCTTCGCATTGTGCTTCGCAGTGAGACTAGGTGGATCAAGTATTATAAAAGCTGGAACAGGTGCAACCTAGTCTCGTTTAATACCTAGTACCTAGATCTGTTCTAGTATATACGCTTCATCTCTAGCCAAGGGTATTAGTGTTCTGTGGTTCTGTGATACTATGTCTATGCTAGCGGTTGATAGATTGGGGTTTATTTTATGAACGTTATAAAAGGTTCAATTAAAGAATTATAAAGTAATCACCAATATAGTTAAGAAACCCCCACCATATTCATTATTTTTCCTCGATAGCGTTACTTGCATTTTGCAAATGCTTTAGTTACATGTTTGTCAATAAGTGCTTATCGAATAACGCCTTTTCACGATGACCGCAATAGTCGCGGAAGAAAATACTGAAATCGTAAGTGATCAATAACGCATTTATACTTACACGATTTTAAAAACGTTCACAAACAAAAATGTTTTCAGGATTGGGGAAATGAGAGGTTAACTCGGGCTCAAAAAGCTGTCGAAGCCAATATCTACGATGTGGATTCGTGGTCTTTACTAATACGGGAAGCCCAAACTAGACCTATTAACGATGTACGAACTATGTATGAGAAACTTATAACAGCATTTCCAACTACGGGCCGGTACTGGAAAATTTACATTGAACAAGAGGTTAGTTTTTTTTTTATAGAATAAGTTTGACAAACGAGCACTCACTCCACCTGATGGTAAGTGGATGCCGTGGCCCATAGATATCTACGTATATTCTCGATTAAGAATCAAAATTCATATGTGTTGTCACCCCTGAGGACTTTTTTTTTATAGGATAAGGGTGACAAACGAGCACACAGTCCACCTGATGGTAAGTGGTTGCTGCGGCCCATAGACATCTACATCTATCCTGGTTTGCGAATCAAAATGCAGATGCGTTGTCGCCCGTGAGGACTAAGATAGAATGCCTCATTTCCAGTAAAAAGGGCCTCCGGCCACCTGCACTCACCAAGCGAAACGCAAAAGGTAAACCTCTACTTCACGCTAGTATTCTGTGAGGTTGTGGTACCACCTCGGTTCGAGCCGGCCCATCCGTGCGACAGCAAGAGCTGCCGCGTGGCTCTACCACTGTAAAAATTACTGTAAGATGGAAAGCCTCATTTCAACCCCGGTTGAACCAACCTATACCTATTCGTGCTGCAAATAATTTAGCTGCAGCAGGGCTCTACCACATATAAGTTCTATATTTTAATTACTATAATCTTATGTAGAATAATATACTCGCAAAATTTAAAATCATAGGATTAGCATAGAAAACCTGTTCCATTTTAGTGTATTTTTGTACAATTAACTGTAGGGGTCTAGCAAATACACATATAACTCAAACAATACTAAAAACACTATACTATGTATCAGTAACTCAAGTTCATAGCACATAACAATTGATTAATGTCTTGGATATTTGACCTCAGCAATACCATATATGGTGTTCTTGTCAAGGAGTGCCTACTGATCTGGTGGAACTGTACTTCCCCTTTTAGCCAAGCCTATGTATATTTCAACATGGAATGCTTTCAACTTGTTATATGAATGCTATATTGTCAGCACATGTATTATAAAACAGTATAGTGTTTTTTATTTTACAACTGTCCTAATTTGTGTATAAACTTTTGCCTAAAGTCTATTTATATTGTTAACATAATTCTGGAAATGGAACTTCAGTTGCAATTTTATTTTATTTTTAATCTGTAGTTACTATCTCCTATTTACACTCGACCACAACATTACGAAATTTCATATTACTGTTGCTGCCTAAAAAAATTCATTGCTGAACATAGGTTCTAGAATATCTCGAAGAGAGGCCCATAGATTGACTCTAAGAGGGATATTTACCATAGCTTTGCAGGTAGGTTAGCAACCACAGTTTTTTTTTCAGTTCTTATTTCAAAAACACTGCTGCCCATCAGGCGCCCACAGGGCGATATGATGTAGTGGATATTCTTACACTAAACAGTTAAATGACTAAAGTATGTCTATCTATTAATATTTATTTATTAAAATTTTAGGTGAATACACCTATTTTGTTAGTACAATTATACTAGGGGAAAATAAACATAAATTATTTATTCTTAAACATATGGGGTCTGGAACCCACTGCACCCAATGAGCTGTGTTCCAATGCCTCATTACAGGGCAATCCTGCCTCCCACACATGGAAATCAGGAAGCTGTTGGTACTGGCTAGCATGTAACGCATCAAGGAGACTATTTTTTGTGTAATATTACTTCAATATATCCATGCTTGCCTGATACACTGCAAAAAAGAGGCAGTCCCAACAACATTCTGAATCCATTGTGGCAAGGAATGTGGAATCTCAAGAGATCAGTGAAGTAACTTTTGTGCAGAGCCTGCAGGTGTATAAAAGTGTGACAGTAAGCTTTAAATAATGTTACATTAACTTCATTTTTACACCTAGCAATCTTTCAGGAAAGCATATTACACTGCACTACCAAAGCTCTATGTTTAGATAAATAGCACCTAACTTACCATGAGCTTATTGTGTTTCAGTATGTTTTAGCATTCATTCCTACTATATTTATCACGATCGAAGAGATAAAATCTAGCAAAATTACATGGAAGGCTCATGCAAATTAAAATTAGACAATCTTTAGTGTGTAATACAGGCACCTATTCATCCTGAACTGTCTAAACTTTTCGGTTATGGTTATCAGCATAATGCTACAATTTCACCCAGACCTTTAATTTGTATTTTGGTTCTGACTAGGTTTTAAATTTAGGACCTGTGTAACATAGCATATTTTGGTTGTCAAATGCATTAAATGTTTCCCATTTAACACATTCACTGTTCCGTGACCCACATATGGGTCATTGCTATTGTCTTACTATTGTCAGCAAACAGGACAGTGAAAGTGTTAAGCTACCATTGTTTATGATACCTATGATGTATGTATACCTATGATGTATATGATGTGTATGATAATAATAACAGAATTTGATAAATTTATGTGTGGGCATTATTATACCTGTAATATATTTCTCCATAACCATTAAGCGTTTTCTTTTATTTTCAGATGAAAGCCAGAAACTTTGAAAAAGTTGAAAAGGTTAGTATAAATACAGTGTAAGTTGGTCTTAAACTCTGTTTTAAAACGGTACACTATATTGTCTGTGATATTAGTGACTAATAAAAACAAAACATAAATTATTCTTTATTACAAAAAGTGAATATATTATATCAGACAACTAGCTAAACCACTATGTATTATTTTAGTTTTAAGTTCAAAATAAAGACAGCAGATTATAAATTGCCATCTTTTTTTTCGGTTAGGGTGTCTGTGTTCAGACATGTTGGAGGTGATTTTCTAAAGCTTAACTACAATATTCTAAATTAGTTTTAATTATGTTATGCTTTTATTACAAGAAATAAACTAAAATGTTTGTTACTAATTAGTTAAGCCTTAGAAGGTCACTTTCGACATGTATTATCCCTCTTAGACAATAAGCTTAAAATTATTACTTTAAATAATACCTACTTATATCCCAAACCCTTTTAAAACTTCTCCTTTACCATCTTATGGAAAAATAAAACAAATGTGTGTTGAATAAGCATGGATGATGATGAATCATGTGTACAAATCAATACATATAAATAATAAATGAATAATTTGAATGCAATTTTGTGATAAGTTTTTTCTGTGTGGTATAAGATAGTGTGTAAGATCTATCACCTCTTTCTTTTTTGTTTTCTTTTTCTTTTTTTAAAAACGCTACCCCCACACTAGGATTTTCTCCTGTATTGTAGAGGCAGTTTACAAACATAGATTGCACGAGGACAAACATCCAGACCCGGAACAATTATTTGTAGGCCATACAAATACATGTTCCGTGCGGGATTCGAACCCGCGGCCCCCAGCGCATCAACTCATTGTTAAGCCACTGCGCCACAGAGCCGTCAACCTCATTTTGTTCCAAGGGTTTTGTAAAGACGACTATGGAAAATGCTAGAAAAATCTTATGGCTCTGTATATAGCGGTACATCAGACGAAAAATACCCTGACCAATGACAGCCACACAATTTTCAATCTGTCTGCCAAGCATGATGATGAAGCTAAATCATTCCTACAATGACTAGAACAGCAAGAGTAAACTTCAACAGGCTAATAAGAAAGAAGAAGACTCCATCATCTTGACATTGCATATGGGTAGATTAGTGATAAAATGCAGGTTTTCAGTTCCGTAAATTATGAGGTTGATTGTAATTCATTAAGTTAATTTGTAGCTAAGAAAAAAATTTCACAAAAAACCGAACAATATAAACAAATGAAAAAATAAATATTAATATAATTTAAAGTACTAATTTGGTAAATTACTTTTTTTTTATTTAAACACTACAAAAATTCTTACATTAGTACTTATTATACCTTATAATTACATTGTTTTAAAAATATAAACCAACATATTATCAACCGACTTCAAAAAGGAGGAGGTACTCAATTTCACTCTATGTTCTTTTTTATGTTTGTTACCTCACAAGTTTTTTCTAGGTGAACTTATTTCGAGGATTCTTTATTTATTTGAAAGCTGGTGCTTCTTATGTGGTCCCATATAAGTTTGATCAAGGTCTGACCAATAGTTTTTGAATTATCCTTAATAATTTATACTGATGTCGGTTGTACGAAATTTTTAATTATTATCATTGTATCTGTTTGAAATTTTGAATGTTGTTCAAAATGGAAAGTTATTCCAATTGTGTCCGCATATTGAGAGCAATTCGTAAGGAAATTATAAAAATCTCGTAATATTCTCTCTACTATATGTAGTAAAAAATGACATTCAGTGTCATAGTGCCATGGGAACCACTTATTAAATAATAGTGACATGCCACTGACGAGATAATGGAGTCTGGTGATGAGAGTTCTATATTACGAGATGATTAGTTTGTATTGTATTTGTATGTATGAATTGTGTGAAAGAATGAATAATTGCATTACTTCTAGATAACTAATATAAAGAAAGGCAATTTCTATGTACTCTACAATCTCCAAATTATCTATCCTTCCAAATACAGAGTCCAGTAACCTTACACTTATCCACTTTATTATTCCTTAAACTTTAAATATCGTTAACCTAATGATAGTATTGTCCTTTAACCCCCTTTAAATTAAATCCCTTTGCTAGATTTTAAAACATGCCACTCTAGTGTTAAGAGAAATAAGAACTCCGAAAGAAAAGTTAAAACTGAAAAAAAAAAACATAATTTGCGCATTATGTAATGGAAGTGTTTTAAAGTAGGTAGTTACTTAAAGAATTGTTTTAAAATAGCTACTTACTTTATTTGTTAAACAATATATATATAATCATCCTTAGTATTTTAATTTGAAGAAATAATATAAAAGACATTTCAAGATCATAAGTGACTGATAAAAGATCAGGTAAGTTCTGTAAAATAACATGATGTGTCACTGTGTGGTATTTAATTTGTTAAATTTCAAATAGATGTTTTGTACCATTAACCAAATACTTCTACCCCTCTTTAAATGAAGTGCCTCCTCTACCATCAAAGACTACCCAACCAATGCTCATCTCTATCCCAAATCCCTTTCCAATTTATTGTTTCAGAGAACTACGACGTTTTTGCTCAACAAACTTCCATAAAGTTTTATGTATTGGAAATATTTTACTGAACATATCATTTCATTACAGAGCATTTAAAATTCACTGCTGAACATAGGCCTCGTCCATAAATTGCCTCATAGGCTTTGCCGCACAATATGCAAAATCCACGTAGTAGCGGCATAAAAGAATACGTTACCCCATACCATCCCGTAGGTGTTTTAAGAGGTGACAGAGGGAAACTGAAACTAGTGATGGGCAGCAGTATCCTGATAACAGTTCCAAATAATACAAAACTGCGTTTACCAATACACATATATTTTTATATATGTATTATTATTGTACAACAAAATTTCTACTGTGCTAAAGTATAATTACGAATTTCATGACTGAAATCCAAGGATCGCCACTTAGCCCGGTCTTCTTCCTTGGGCCTATGTTCAGCTGTGGACTGCCGTAGGAAGTGATGATGAGCATGAAAATTTATTAATAGAGTCATCTTAATTTCATATCTTTAAAACAATGAAATCACGAAAAATTTATTAGAAATAAGTAGTATCAGCCGAATAAAATATCTTAAAATTCCTGAATAAATATAAGAACAGTGGTACTTTTTTGTTCTTTCTAAGAATATTAGAAAAACATCTCTATCTAGAATACGGCTGCTCTAGAAGATGACAGACTTCAAACTCGACCAAAGGTATTATGTGTTTGTAAGAATCTCAAAAAAAATTTCTTAAGCCATAATAAATATATGGATTGATTATTATATATGAAATGTAATTGTGAACAAAATACGTATAATTTATCTTTTTTACCAAAGTGTTTTTAATTTACTGTAATCACGAGTAAAAAATTACGTTTATAATAACAACGTTAAATTCTTGCATATTTGTTACTTCAAATGTATCGGTCCTTCGAGCCGGATAAACAACGCATTCTATTGACGCCATGTTTGCATGGATATTTAGCTGTTTCAGCGCTGTCTGATGAAGATCCTCAATATCGAGCTTTGGCGCCTTTATCTCAATTACGTGAAAGAAACGAAATGTATGCTGCCTACATACAAGTACGTATAAGTATTTACAATACATTTATCAAAGATTTATGTCTTGTTAAAATTTCAAAACGTTTAAGAGAAAATTAACAGTTCTCACTTTATTAAAGTTTAATAAATTGAATAAAGAATTAGTTAAAAGTTGTTTGTTTCAATTACTTCAGATCAGTGGTTTTATTTTATCTCTCTAGTTTTATTTTAATATTTAATCATTGCCTCACTCTTTACTACCGACTTCCAAAAAGGAGACGGTACTCAATTCGACTGTATTTTTTTTTTGTGTTTTTTTTTTAACTTTTTACTGGGTGTGCCGATTTCGATGATATTTTTATATATGAAAGCAAAAAATATAATGAAACATCTCGTGTGGTCCCATATGAATTTGATCAAGGTCAGACCAATAGTTTTTGAGTTATTCTTAATAACTTATGTTGAAGTCGGCTGTACAAAATTTTTAATTTTAAATTATTAATTCTAAAACATATATATCTAGTTCATATTTGCCTCTTCTCCAGTAAAATGGGTCTCCGGATCTCTACACTCACCATACGAAACAGCACTTTACACTGGTATTCTGTGAGGGCGTGGTCCTTCGCCGGTCGAGCAGACCCATTCGTGCTACAACTATACTACTAATATAGCTGCAGCATGGCTCTACCACGTATAAAAGTTACTTTTTTATGTAACATAGAGGAATAGAAAAAACATAAATTTTTAAATAGGAATAACAAAAAAAAATCATGAAAGTAAAAGCAATTACAAAAACGAAACAGTAAACCTAACCTTTTATTTTTTTTTTTAATATTAGAGAAAAAATGGCGCAAGCGTATGATTTCGCACTGGATAAAATAGGACTGGATATTCACGCGTACCCAATATGGAACGATTATGTAACATTTCTGAAGGCGGTCGACGCTGTCGGATCCTATGCCGAGAATCAGAAAATTTCTGCTGTTAGAAAGGTAGGCATTAGTGTTAATTCATATAGTTTAATTAATTCTTACCATAAGCCCACAGGCTAATAGGGGTTTACGTATAGTATATACGTTAGTTATAGACGTGGGAGAAGTCGCAATCCACGAGGCCCCTTTTCTTTCGTTCCCAAGATCTACCCAATAGATCTATCCTACCAAACATGCTTAGGCAACGACATACCTACTCATAGCTATTAATTCGTGACAAGCCTCATATTCCGTCAATCTAACGGTTGCGGTCTTTGAAGATAGTAGTTACAACGTCCTCGCGGTCGAACTTAAGAAGGGCTTCTTGCGTGGCCCCAAACAAACACGCTTTTAAATTGGTGACGTCCTTTTTCGAGTGTAAAAGTGATCAAATTAATTAGTCATCTGTGGTAAAGTCTGAGGGCATCACATTTTAAGGGGCCCCGCTAGGCCCCATTTAAGTGCGAGGCCATGGGCGAGGGCTCACTTCGGCCACGCCTAGCTACGCCACTGTCTATACGTTAGTTACAATAACTTCTTCGCACATCGAGACAAAACTAGCGATACTATCCACATCATCTGGATGATTGGGGGTCCACAACTGTGCGATTCACAAGAAGTTTTTTTCCTCGGACAACTTCCTTGTGGAATCGACTACCACCAGCGATTTTAGGGGCAACGCATCTGCAATTCCCCTGGTATTGCAGTTGTTCATGGGCGGCGGTAGTCACTTACCATCAGGTGAGCCGCATGCTCTTTTGCCCCCTCTCATATAAAAAAAAACTCCATTTATTCTACTTACTAACAAATTTAAGAAAACCTGCGTACACCCATACTAAATCTTGAGAACTAAGGTGGAGAGATATTACGAATTATTTTACATGCATTTGACGAATTCACGCTCCACGAATAGTCGTATTAAGCCTCGGTTCCATAAAGTTATCACTGGCAACGCAAAGATTGCCAGTGATATCACTATGATGAACCCATTCTTGATCTTTCACTGCTGGACTTATGTTGTAAGATCAAAGTTAGTTAGCGAGATATGAAGAGGGCTATCTGGAAGTTTTCTGTAAGATAAAATACTAATCATGGACATCAACAGCAGAACAAGGATGACTAACATAGCTTCGACGTAATCAATATTGTAATACAAATAATTGTTCCGGGTCTGGATGTTTGTCCTTGTGCAATTTATGTTTGTAAACTGCCTCCACGACACAGGAGAAAATCCTAGTGTGGGGGTAACGTTTTATAAGATAAAAAATAAGCTGAAGTGGCACAGTTAACGACTGGCACGCTCAATGTGTTTCGGCTCCCTACTAAACGGAATGACTACCTGATGAAACATACAGGAATGCAGGTGGATCAAACCCGTGAAGGACTTTGTGGCAATCAGCAGTAGACTTGTGATGGGCTGCAGAAATGATGCTTTTGGTCACTACAGTGAGCTAAGCATGTTTGCTGCAGTGCTGATTTATGCTGACAAGTGAATTTCAAAACTAAAACTGCACTGAATTAGTCATAGAAAACAAAGAAAGAGAGCACACATTTCAATGTAATTCTTTTAATATTTTAGGTATATCAAAGAGCAGTCATAACTCCGATAATTGGTATTGAAACTCTGTGGAAAGACTACATAGCATTTGAGCAAGGAATTAATACAATAATTGGTAAGTTAAGTGAAAATATTTCATAAATAAATTCAAAGCAAATAGTCAATTTAATTTTAAATTATCTTCAAAACAGCCGAGCGTATGGCGATGGAAAGGTCTCGGGAATATATGAATGCACGTCGTGTGGCTAAGGAGTTGGAAACGGTCACGAGGGGCCTTAACCGGAACATGCCCGCTACACCACCCACCGTAGATAGAGAAGAGATGAAACAGGTATATCTATTTAAATTTGAAAGCTAAGCCATTATTATTTTTTTCTGTAGCTGTAGCTACAACAAGCGGCGACTACTTGGTTTTTATTGAGTAGCCTAAATTTTATGAATAAACTTGATTTATTCAAATATATATTATACACTAGTCACAAAAATTAAAGGATATAAAAAAAACATAACAAATGATAGTACAACAAAAAAAGCAAATTGTAGTTGCAAATGTCTAGTTTTTAGTATCATGTTTGGTTCTGGAGTAATCCTAAGGAAACTAGCGAACAAAAAGTCTACTACGGGTTTCAAAACTTTTTTTCAATATTTCACAAAAATCAATCTTTAATCGAAGAAATATATATTATCGGGGAAAAAATTTGTTTATTGGAAAAATTAATAAGAATCGAAAAATTGCTTGCAATTGTGATTTATTGCGGAAACGATAAATTTGAAGCTTCGGGGCACTAAGATAAAAAAATACACACATTCTCAGAAATTATTCGGGACACTACGACGACGACGATATCCTTCGTTCATCCATTTTATCCAAAGTTATACCAAGTTATCCAAATAGCCTTAAATATTCGAATTTTTATCTTTTTCTCAGTTCAAAGTTATCGCTTCGAAAAAAAGTTTCTTCAAAAGTCATTCATGGTACCTCATACGGAATGGGGGATATTATGCAATTTTCAAAACCATCATTATTTCCAGATTGATTATCAAAGTTAAAAAGAACTTTTTTGTTTTGATTTATAATAACTCCGCGGTAAATCATCGTACAGTTTTTTTGGTTGCGTCAAATTACAAGGGCATTAAATTTCCTAAAAAAGCTTTTTAGTGAAATAATGAAAAAATAATTTTTTGAAGCCCTTTTTTAAGACAAGCAGAAATTTGGAAATATTTTTTTCGGTAGTTTAGGATCACTTCAGAACCAAATATGATAAAAAAAATTCATGGACGGATCTGAAAAGTAGACATTTGGAACTACAATTTGCTCTTTCTTTTTTTGCTGTACAATCATTTTCCTCGGAGTTAATTTTTTTTAAAAATCACCCAAAAATTTAGTATTTTTTTATATCGTTTAATTGTGATTAGTGTATTTTATTAAATCAATATTAAATTGCATCATCATCATCATTACAGCCGTTCACAAATCCACTGCTGAACATTGGCCTCCCCAAGGAATACTACAAAGCATGTTCCTGAGCCACCTGCATCCATCGACTTCCTTCATGTCTTACCAGGTCGTCACTCCATGTAGTGAGGGAGGGGCCGCCCTACACTTCGTCCGTCAGTACGAGGCCGCCACTCGAGGACCTTTTTTCCCCATCGGTTGTCGTTTCTTCGAGCTATGTATATGGCTGGCCCATTGTCACTTAAGTTTACTAATCCATTGGGCTATGTCGGTTACTCTGGTTCTATTGAGGATATCCTCATTTCTAACTTTATCACGCAGAGAAACTCCGAGCATAGCCGTCTCCATAGCTCGCTGAGCGACCTTGAGCTTCCGCATCCGGCCTGCAGTGAGGAACCACCTCTCAGTTCCATAGGTCATCACTGGCGACACGCACTGGTTGTACAGTCTCGTTTTAAGGTATACCTGACGAAAAGATATGCCTTAATTTCCCGAACGCTGTCCAGTCGAGTTGAATTCGTCGACTGACCTCTCGGTTGAAATTCGACTTACCTAGTCGGACTATTTGTCCCAGGTAAACATACTCGTCAACAACTTCGAGCTTAGTGCTCTCAACCACTACCGGCATAGGTGTGTCGTGGACGTTATACATGATCTTTGTTTTGTCCATGTTCATCTTAAGACCGATCCGTTCGGAGGCACTATTGAGGTCATTAAGCATAGTGCTTAGGTCCTCCAGCGATTCTGCCATAAAGACTATATCGTCGACAAATCTGAGGTGAGTGATGTACTCGCCGTTGATGTTAATACCGTATCTTTCCAGTCCAGAAGCTTGAAAATGTCTTCCAATGCGGTAAAGAATTTCGGGGATATAACGTCACCCTGTCTTACACCTCTCTGAATTTGGATAGGTTTCGTACACTGGTTCTGTACTCGGATAGCCATCGTAGCCCTACTGTACAAACACTTCAGCACTTCGATATACCGACAGTTAACTTGGCACCGCTGAAGGGACTGCAGCACCGCCCAAATTTCGACGGAATCAAAGGCTTTTTCATAGTACACATATGCCAGACATAGTGGCCATGAAGGACGGAATTAAAGAACACTCCGGTGCAGTGCCGAAGAGAGGGGGAGGACATGGTAATCCTCGAATCTGGCAACTTGCTCTATTACCGAGAGGGCGACCATCAGTCCCAAGAAGGTGTCGGATTTATCGTACAAAATTCTCTCGTTAACAACGTTGTAAAGATTGAGAGTGTGTCGACGAGGGTTGCGTACCTTATACTCGAAATCACCAAACGGTATTCGCTGAAGGTCGTACAGGTATAGGATGGGGAGGTGGAGGAAATGTATGAGGATATATCTATAGCCATGCATTACTCCAAAACCCACTATACGGTGTTAATGGGAGACTTCAACGCAAAAGTTGAGCGGTGTGCTGAAGGTAGGGAAATTCGGAATAGGGCAACGGAACCCAAGGGGCCAGCAGCTGGTAGACTTCATGGAGAAAGAGGGACTCTTTATGATGAACTCTTTCTTCCAGAAACGGCCCCACAGGAAGTGGACCTGGTCGAGCCCTGACGGTTCGACAAAAACTGAGATTGACTTCATTATGACGACCAGACGACAACTGTTCAGTGATGTCTCAGTGATCGCGAGGGTGAAAACCGGCAGCGATCACCGAATGGTTCGAAGCACACTGAACCTAAACGTTAAGTTGGAGAGGTCACGTCTAATGAAGTCAACGCTCCGTCCCCTAGAGCCCCCTTTCAGCTAGAGCTACGAAGCCGTTTTCAGTGCCTAGAAGATTGCCATTCAGTGGACGATATGAATGACAAGCTCGTGGAAACTGTCCATGTGGTCGGAGCTAAGTTTTGCAAGACCCGCCACAGAAGAGCACAAAAACTCTCCGATCACACTCTTGATCTCATAGCTCTTAGACAGGAAATGAAACTGCAGTCTTCAGTAGGGTAGGAAATGAAACTGCAGTCTTCAGTAGGGTAGGAAATGAAACTGCAGACTTCAGTAGGGGGTCATTGTAGAAGCGTGCTCGTCGCGACCCCTGCCAGCCCTTTTCAGGGCTGCAATTCTACTAGCTGCGCACCCATGCCAACGAGGGTTAGGGCGTCCCCCCAAGGCGACGCACACCAGCTCGTCCCTGTTGGTGTGGAATGCAGCGTGCAAAGCGGCGATGGGGACCGCCACCCGTCACGCACAGCCCGACACGGCGGAAGGTGGAGGACAGAGTGCAGAGTTAGCACGTGGAATGTTAGAGGAGGCATGAGAGATAAGACGAATGAGTTGATCGAAATAATGAAAGAAAGAGAATTAGATGTCGTGTGTATGTCGGAGACCAAACGGAAGGGCAGTGGTACTGAAGAGCTCCCTGGCGGGGCGGTAGCTCTACGGTCCGGAGTCCCGGAGAGCGAGAACGCCTGCCAGGGAGTGAGGGTGCTGCTGTCTTCTCGGTTGGTCGATGTTATGACTGAATATAAGGTTGTGAACTCAAGACTTCTCTGGGTTCGCTTTAAATTGGGACTGACGAAGTTATTCCTTTTGACTGTTTATGCGCCGGTAGCTTCGTCGTCCAGGGCTGAGCTGGAGGAGTTTTGGGAGAATGTAAGAGAAGTTCTAGATTTGGCTAGGGGAAACGAAAGAATTGTTGTATGTGGTGATTTGAATGGATGGGTTGGTACCGCTCGACCAGGGTACGAGTCGGTACTTGGAAAGTTTGGCGATAAAAGGGTTAATGATGCTGGCAAGCTTATACTGGCGGTGTACAAGGAAAAGGGTCTTCTTGTGACAAACACTATGTTTAATCACAAGAAAATCCATATGTATACTAGAGAACGAAAGAATGAGAGAAGTATGATCGATTTGTTCCTGGTGGATGACCGACTGCGAAAACAGGTGATGGATACGCGAGTGTTCAGGGGTGCTGACCTGGGAACGGATCACTATCTAGTGATTACTAGATTTAGGGGTCTGTTCGCGGGTTGGCGCTACCGGACGGCAGTAACAGAACCACAGTCGGTCTGTCGCATCCGAAGCTGGAAGCTTCAGGAAGCGGATACTAGGGACAAATATCATGCGAGGGTAGCCGAAAAGCTTGACACCATCGATGGCAGAAAAGAATGTGTAGAAAGAACATGGCAGAACCTTAGGGATGGAATGGTAAGTGCAGCGGAAGAAGTGTGTGGAACAATAAAAAGAGGCAGTAGTAAAAGAAGAGATGCATGTTGGAATGATGAAGTGAAAGAAGCTGTAAAGAAGAAGAAGAAAGCATGGTTAGACTACTTGGCCTCTAGTAATGATAAGGATATGAGAGAGAAGATGAAAGAAAGATATACGCTACAGAAAGTTCACACGAAAGCACTGATTGAGGAAGTGCGTGAAAGGTGGAGAATGGAAGCGGACGAAAGGTTGTCGCACAACTTTAAGGAGAACTCCAAACTCTTCTGGAAAGAGGTTGGAAGGACCCGAAGTGGTGCGACGACCTTAAGAATGAACAAAGTGCTTTCGAGAACTAATGACGTCCTCTCAGAAAAATCGGACGTCATGCAGCGATGGAGCGAATTTTATAGAGAAATGTATGCCTGTGATGATCTTAGTGAGGGATCCGGGGATGACGCCGTGACTGGTACGCCAGACCCGGATCTCGATGACACTGAGGTCATCAGTATGAAAGAGATTGAACGTGCGATTCGAAGTTTGAAATGTGGTAAGGCTGCGGGACTAGACAGAGTTACTGCTGAAATGGTCAAGTATGGTGGGCCTCGCGTCTGGGACAGTTTTCATCTGCTGTGCAATTTGTGCTGGCGGACGGGGGATGTCCCGGATGATTGGCGATCCGCAGTCATTGTGCCTTTATATAAAGGTAAAGGTTCACATTTTGACTGCGGGTGCTATCGGGCGATTAGCTTGACCAGTTTAGCAAGTAAAGTTTACTCGAAGGTTTTGACACGTAGGATGCAAGAGAAATCGGAAAGATTTCTATGGGAGGCACAATGCGGATTTAGACCTGGAAGAGGATGCACGGATCAAATGTTTTCTCTCCGCATGATCACGGAAAAGCTTCTGGCTGCTAACCAAAAGATTTTCTGTGCTTTTGTGGATCTTGAGAAAGCATTTGATAAGGTTGTAAGGAAGAAAATGTGGGAACTGTTGCCGGGGTATGGTGTGGATGGTCAATTGCTAAGGGCTGTGCAGTCTCTTTACCGTGACTGTAAAGCCTGTGTGCGGGTAGGGCATGACCTGTCACCCATGTTTAACGTCCAAACGGGCGTAAAGCAGGGTTGTGTCATGTCTTCCTGGCTGTTCATACTGTATCTCGACAGCTGTTTACAGAAGCTGAAAGATAGTTGTTTGGGTGTGAAATTGGGTGACATTAAAGTAAATTGTCTGCTGTATGCTGATGATGCAGTGCTTATTGCACCATCAGAGGCAGAACTGCAGGCATTAGTCACGTGTATGAAAGAGGAATGTGAAATTAAAGGTCTCCGTTTGAATGCTAATAAAACTAAGGTTCTGGTATTTGAAAGGGACGAAGAGAGAACGAAGTGTGAAATATGGGTAAATCAGGAATGTCTATAACAAGTAAATGAAATTGTATACTTGGGGAGTGCTTTTAGCCGGGATGGAAGATGTGATTTAGATGTGGACAGGCGTGTCGCTGCCGGGAACAAAGTCAATGGTGCCCTGACTGCGTTAGTCAAAAGGCAAGGCGTAGCGACGAGTGCACGCCTTGCAATACATAACGCAGTGTTGGTACCGACTTTGTTATATGGCAGCGAAACCTGGGTATGCCAGAAGAAGCATAAAAGTAAGTTGAATGCAGTGGAGATGCGATCTCTTCGTAAAATGTGCGGCGTTACCATGGCCGACCGAAAGCGAAACGAAGAGATTCGCAATATGGCAGGTTTGAAAGATGACCTTATCACAAAAATCGATAAGGGCGTGCTTCGGTGGTTTGGGCACGTTGAGCGAATGAGTGAAGACCGAATGGTGAAGAAAATATATAGCGCGAAAGTTAATATTAAAAGGTGTCGAGGTAGACCGAGACTAACTTTCGAAGACCATGTGAGCAAATTGCTCGAAGAGGGTAGGGTCAAAAGTACTCGGATACTTCGACGTGCATGCATGAAGAAGATAATGAATCTGAAAGAAGCGAAAGAGGTTTGTAAGGATCGTGACACTTGGCGATCTGTTCTCTCTGGCTACCCCGTCAGGGATTGTGCGTGAAGATAAGTAAGTAAGTAAGTAAGTCTTCAGTAGATTTGACAGCATACAGGCTACTGAGCAGACAGATCTCCAAATGCATGTGGCGGAACTTACGCAACTTTAAATACTGTTCGTGTAGAAGAAGCGATCGAGCGGAACCAGGGCTCCAAAGTCTTTGCTAGAGATCTGTCTGCCAGAAAGAGCCAACTGTCGAAGCTGAAGACTGATTGTGGCAGCGTCGTTTCCGGGACACCTGAGATTTTTAGTGAGATTGAGAGGTTCTATGGGCAGCTGTACACACCATCGTTGAAGCCACACGCAAGTATGAGTAACGATCCAAGAGCAAGTCTTATCCGACACTATTCGATGATATTCCGGACGTCAGTTTGAGCGAGATTAGAATGGCTCTCCAGCACCTCAAAAACGGCTCGCTGTAATTCCATCCTGAATTCCTGGATGAAATTACAGCGGAGCTTCTGAAAGCGGGTGGAAACCGGTACTTGAAGTCCTTTAGAAGCTTTTTAATTCCGTACTCCATGGTGGCATTACATCGGATGCGTAGAGCAGAAATGCGGTGGTCTTGTTCTTCAAGAAAGGCGACAACGCTCTCTTGTAGAACTACAGACCGATTTCCCTTCTGAACCGCGTCTACGTGCTGATTCCAAGAGTCATTACGAATGGTCTCGTTATCCAACACTATTCCGATTATATTCCGGACATCAGTCTGAGCGAGATTAGAATGGCTCTCCAGCACCTTAAAAACGGCAAGGTCCCAGTCGAGGATGGAATTAAATTGCATAATTTAATAACAACATTTAAGAGTTAAACGATTATTATTAATTCAATTATTTACAATGCTTACTTGAGGGAAATAAGGAGTTTTTTTCAAACAAGCTAGCGATTCGCCCCGGTTCTCCACAGTTGATTTCAGGATTTCGATAACAACGCCACCTAACGGGTCCAGTTGTGAATCTAAACAAAATTTCATCAAAATCGGTCCAGCCGTAGAGTTCAGTCTCATACACACGGACAGAAGAAATATAATATGCATGTATCTTGAACTAAAACCGCATCAAAATCCGTTGCATAGTTTAAAAGATCTAAGTTTACAGACGGCGGGAAGCGACTTTGTCTTATTTTAGGGTTATAGAATAATATACTGTTAATAAGAATACTGAATAATATTCTGATGTATTTATTATAAAAAAATATTCATCAACAGGTTGAGTTATGGAAAAAATATATAACATGGGAAAGAAGCAACCCTCTCCGCTCAGAAGACACGGCGCTAGTAGCCCGGCGTGTGATGTTTGCCATCGAACAATGCTTGCTTTGCCTTGCGCACCATCCAGACGTATGGCATCAGGCCGCTCAGTTTCTCGACCACTCCTCAAAATTGTTACAAGAGAAGGGGGTGAGACAAATTTACTTACTATATAAATATTTTTAATTTGACAACTCATTATTGTCATGATATATGATGTTATATTATTTCATCATCAGGACTCAAATGCGGCGCGCTTGTTTTCCGACGAAGCAGCGGCAGTTTACGAGCGGGCTACAAGCGGCCCTCTCAAGCAGTCTACGTTGTTGCACTTTGCGCACGCTGACTATGAGGAGAGCCGACTGCACTACAACAAGGTTCGGCATGCAAAAATCATTCTTCAAAATGTTTTTAGTGTTCCGTACCTCAAAAGGAAAAAACGGAACCCTTATAGAATCACTTTGTTGTCCGGCTGTCTGGCTGTCGAGACCCTTTTTCTTAGGAACGCGTGTAGGTATCAAGCTGAAATTCATATCAAATGCTCAAGTCTACTGTCCCTTAGAGATGTGAAAATATCAAACTTCTAAGCCAACGCAATCAAAAGATACAGCCGTTTATGCCGCAAATTTTCGACATTCGCAAAGGAATCAAACCTACAGGGTACTTCCCGTGAACTCTGAATCTTGAAATTTGGTACGAAGCAACGTTTTATAGCATAGATAAAGGAAAAATTGCGAAAAGCATAAATTTTTAGTTACATCATATAATAAAAATATTTTTAATAATTTTAAACTTATATACCTACTGATTAGTTCGGAACCCTCAGTGCGCGAGTGCGACTCGCACTTGGCCGGTTTTTTATGTTCACGTAAACATAATAATAATTTAAAATTAAAAAATTTGTACAACCGACTGCAATATAAATTATTAAGAATAATTCAAAAACTATAGGTCAGACCTTGATCAAATTTATATGGGACCACATGTGAAGCACCAGCTTTGAAATAAAAAAAAGAATCATTGAAATCGGTTCACCCAGTAAAAAGTTATGAGGTAACACACATAAAAAAAAGCATACAGTCGAATTGAGTACCGTCTCTTTTTTTTAAGTCTTTAGAAAATAATGTTTTTTATTTACGCAAACACTACAAATTGAAAGAACCTAATTTTTACGGACTTTATCGCGTTTATTAACTTTTTTCTTTTCATTATCGTTCTACAATATATCATAAACGCCCTACTCGATCCGATAGGTACAAAAAAATTAAAACATGAATACAAGACCAGATGGAAGTTAGCGTAGAACATTCTTTTTTTTAACTAAACTGTGTGGCAATTAATTGCTCCATAAATGCTCCAGCAGAATTCGAAATTGCTCCACCTCTATTGTTATTAGTTATTTTATAATTAATTTTTAAAAAAATTAAGTATCAAAAATTTAATTTTGCTATAAAGTATAAAATATCTAATTTTTTAAATTAAACTGTATGCCAATTAATTGCTCCTTAAATGCTCCAGCAGAATCCGAAATTGCTCCACCTCTATTGTAAATAGTTAATTTATAATTAATTAAAAAAATATTTAAGTATCAACAATTCAATTTTGCTATAAAACATAAAATATCTACGTTTTAAAATTAAACTGTATGCCAATTATTTGCTCCTTAAATGCTCCAGCAGAATCCGAATTTGCTCCACCTCTATTGCTATTAGTTAATTTATAAATAATTTTAAAAAAATTTAAGTATCGAAAATTTAATTTTGCTATAAAACAGAAAATATATAGTTTTTAAAAATAAACTGTATGCCAATTATTTGCTCTTTAAATGCTCCAGCTGAATCCGAAATTGCTATACCTCTATTGCTATTACTTAATTTATAATTAATTTTTAAAAAAATAACCAGAAGGAAGTTAGCGTAGAACATTATTTTTTTAAATTAAATTGTATACCAATTAATTGCTCCTTAAATGCTCCAGCAGAATCCGAAATTGCTCCACCTCTATTGTTATTAATTAATTTATAATTAATTTTTAAAAAAATAACCAGAAGGAAGTTAGCGTAGAACATTATTTTTTTAAATTAAATTGTATACCAATTAATTGCTCCTTAAATGCTCCAGCAGAATCCGAAATTGCTCCACCTCTATTGTTATTAGTTATTTTATAATTAATTTAAAAAAAATTAAGTATCAAAAATTTAATTTTGCTATGAAGTATAACATATCTACTTTTTTAAATTAAACTGTATGCCAATTAATTGCTCCTTAAATGCTCCAGCAGAATCCGAAATTGCTCCACCTCTATTGTAATTAGTTAATTTATAATTAATTTTAAAAAAATTTAAGTATCGACAATTCAATTTTGCTATAAAACATAAAATATCTACGTTTTAAAATTAAACTGTATGCCAATTATTTGCTCCTTAAATGCTCCAGCAGAATCCGAATTTGCTCCACCTCTATTGCTATTAGTTAATTTATAAATAATTTTGAGAAAGAGTGATCCCATTTGAGTAATAGCGCCATCATCAATAGAATGTAGTAACATTCTATAGTAAAAGTCATTTTATCGAATAAAAATTGATTGACTCTCAAAAGTGGTACGTATAATAGATGCTAAATGGCATAAACCCAAAAATAATATTGATGGGTGAGTTTTGAAATTATGGATTCTTAGGAATGGATTAGACAACCATCTTAATAATTTTTTTGTGTTAGTGCCATCTAGCGTCTTTTCTACGTACCACCATGAGAGTTAACCAATTTTGATTTGATAAAATGACTACTTATAGAAAAAAGGAAATAGATGGTGCTATTAAAAAAATACGTATATAATAAATAGTAATTACCTAATTAACAAACAAAACAGATATGTCTCTTCTTAAGATCGAAGAAGATGATGCACTGTGACACATCTGTATATAATTTTATGTAAATAATGTAGGCCATACAAATAATTGTTCCGGGTCTGGATGTTTGTCCTTGTGAAATTTATGTTTGTAAACTGCCTCCACGACACAGGAGAAAATCCTAGTGTGGGGGTAACGTTTTTTTACAATTGAAATTGAAAGATTGAACCCTTATACTTCTTGTTGATTTTTGTATTACCTTTATTAAAGTTACCCTTATGAATAAATAAATATAATTACGTATGTAGAAATAAAATTGATTTTCATCCTCATCAATCATTGGGGCGAGGATAATGTCTGCCAGCATAAGTAATAAGCAGGCTAAGTTACAAGGTGCTCAGTTCAAAAATTTGTAGGTAGGTATATTACTTTTCAATACGTGACACGTAAAAATTAACAATAATCAAAAACATATCTACGAAACATCCTATTTATTTATTTATTCTTTCTTGCACCAAATATTTGTACAAAAGGCGAGCTATCTATTTATTTACCTATAGTGAATAGGTATCTTTTAAACTCACAATTTTCAATGCTTCATTTTTAATATATAATTAATTATAAAATGTCATAATTAGATAATAAATGAAAATACATAATTCTAATATAATGCAACAAATATACCGAATAAAAAAATTAAAATACATTTATCGTTGTACGCTGTGTGTATTTCCATAAATTAGTTTATTGATGTTGAAAAAATAATACTACGTTCTTACCTACAATAGGGCAATATATTGAAACGAGCGGCGCGCCGCCGGCAAAATGCTCAAGGTCGTTCGCATGGAGTAGCCCCTTAAGAAATAGTCTCGTACACTTACTTAGCTGTCATGTTGCCTATTCGTTTATTCGAATTTCCATCTTAGCTTTATATTTATATATTTTTATTAATTTTCTCAGTGTTTAATTTAAAAAAAAAAGTATAAATTATATTAATACTTATATATATTATGTAAGTTATTTATATGTATCTATACTTAATATAATAAAGCGGAAGAGTTTTTTTGTTTTTTTTTTGTTTGTTTAAACGCGCTAATCTCTGGAACTACCAGTCCGATTTGAAAAATTATTTTTGTATATTATAGCCAGATTCATGTGGAATAGTATAGGCTATCTAACATTAAGCTATATTACTCAGCTAGCCTAAAATATGGATATTTGTTAAGCAAGACAGAAGAAAACGCACTCTCGAAATGATTTATCCGCGTACGCTGGTGTTATCGTTAGGGATACGTAAATAAAATGTTCTAGAAAAATATAGATCTTTACTCCGTCTAAAAAAAAGTCCGCGATACTATATGTCTATTTCTTATACATAAGCCATAATTAGGTGTTTTATGACAAAAAATATTGAAAATTAATAAAGTGAGCGTTATTATTAGGCATGTCCTATTTATCCTTACGAACTGTTAGGAGGCCGATCCCGTTTGACTTTTTAAAAAAAAAACCACAAGGTAAACCTAAGGGTTTATTATAAAAAGTTTACACACACAATTAATATTAACCCTGACTTCCGAACTCTAATACGTATCGGAATCTATGTCCGATCTACCCGGGGCTCTGAATCTAACTAACTGTAAAATGGAATGAAATTAATATGGAAAAGAACAATGCAATTACTGATTGACGTCATATATAGGAAAAGTACCGTGGGATTGAATAAATGCTTACTAAGATTTAACTGCGTTGTAAAAAGGGATATAACAGCTCCCCCCTTTTGACTGAGCTTTTTCTAAATTAAGATAAAGCGAAGTTTCGAAATAGAGAAATAGTTAGAGGTCGGAAGGCGTTACAAAATATAGAAATAGAAAATTAAATTTATAGTAAAACATAGAAAATTTATCTTATAACAATATAAAACTTCGAACTATTCGATTTTACATAAAGATAAAGTAAGTTGTAACTAAGTTACGTAAAAGAAACAGCGTAAGATTTAACAAATAATCAATATAAAATAGAACAATGAATTTATATAAAGGTAAAATAGTAAAATCTAGAATTAAAAGTATTTTAAATGAATTAGTAGAATTACGAGTAGAAATTGATTTTTAATAAACAAAATAGTAGTTTCAATTACAATTTTCATTTTAACATTGTATATAATTAAATAACAATACACATTTAAAATTAAAAAATACTTATTACAGTTAGATTGAATCAAAAATATTAAAATGTAGCAATTACAAAATATAAAATGACAAAGTAGAAATTGAAATTGTATGATAATAAAATTAATTATTTGTTTTAATACAAATATTTTTGAAAACTAAAATTGAATAAAATTAGAAATTAAGATTTCTTCCGGAGGAAGAGTGAACTTTGTGTACAGTTCTATAAGGTTCACAATTAGTACAATTTGGTAAAGATTTGGGTGAGTTATTATCTTCTTCAGATGTTGACATATCAATCATCTCAATTGAATTTGTAGTTTTAGAATTATGTTTCGACGACTTTTTATTATTACACTGA